CAATTTTAAAAAAATATATCGAAAATCTTTTTTTTTTAATCAAAATCAAACATGTGCTTAATCTATGTTGCTTAATATGCTAAAAAGCCCTTTATATTCTATTGGGCAAATATTCCAAGTCTCATTTTCGTATTTGCAAGTTAGTTCGACATTATTAATCAAAAAGTAGATCGTGCTAACTTGACATAAAAGTTGGTTTATTGTGACAACTTTTGAATGCCCTTTTTCTTCATGTGTTTGGAAGAGCATCAAGGCTTGATTGAGCATTACTAGATCCAAAACTACCATGGCTAGTGCACTAAGGTGAATTAAGAAGGAGACTAGAAGAACCTCATGGCGCAACAAAGCTAAAATGATTGCTTTAGTTAGTTCTGCCTACTACATTTAGTTGGCTAGAAATAGAATGATTTTTTGAAAATTTAAAACCCCATATTGAGAGTATTGTACGAAGAATCAAAACACATATATACAAAGTGATGTTCTCTTTGTATCTTAATATTTTGATTTATTATAAGCCTTTAGCGATGGGTTGATTTGTATTCTCTCTTTTTGTTCCCTTTTGGTTGATTACTTGGGTATGTCCATAGTAGTTATATTTTCATTGTAAACTGCATTGTTGCTTCACCCAGGTATGTCCGGAGTATTTGTATTTTAAATTTGATCAATATAATTCATTTTACCTGATAAAAACAAAAAAAAAAAAGGGCGAAATGACCATGTTGAAATTCAGTTTTTTCATAATTTTTTTTTTCTTAAAAATGGATAAATTGAATTTCGCCAAACAATATGTAAGAAACAATTCAAGCTAGTCAGACTGAAACTGGCAACGATACATAGTACAAGATGAAACTAGTACACTAGCTTGCGATTAATTTCTTTTGATTTTATTTTTTGTCAAGCATTATTTAGCTCCCATTTGACCCTCATTTTTCCTCAAACTTATTTTCAATCGCACATTTCGTGGAACAGACAATTTATATTATCTTTTCAATCATACATTTCATCAACTTAAACAAAATCTATTGAATTTTTTTTTTATTTATCGAAATCTATCAGTGGCTTAATCTATCTTGCTTAATATACTAAAAATCCCTTTATATTGTATATGGAAAAATATTCCAAGCTTCATTTTCGTCTTCGCAAGTTAGTTCAACTTGATTAATCAAAAAGTAGACCGAGCTAACTTGACATGACCTGTTTTATTCTTTTCCCATCAAGTGGGTGTTTAAAACACTATTTTAATTTTTAAGAAAATTTAAAATTCATTTAATATGTTTTCCTGATTCGAAAATTTCGTCTGCTGAAATTTTGCGTAGATGAGGAAAAGAATTAGGTGAATATGGAAAGGGAGTGATGGAATGCGAATGGTGGGTCACTATTGGTTAAAGAACCCTAAGCTCGCTTCGAAAGCTTTCTTGAAGCTGCAAATCGAAAATATGTTAGAGCAAATCTACGAATTCGCTGACCAAGTCATCAGTGGCAAGGTTAATTGTCCTTCTGAATGTATTGCCATTTCCTTTTCTGTTGATTCTGTCTTTCTCCTAATTGTTCATTTTCATATCTAATTTGATGGAGTTGTGATTATGTGTGTTTATGCGTTAAATTGACGTTAAAATTTTGAAGGAGTTTAAGGATTTCTTGTAAATGAGGTGGTACATTTGAATTTCTTCTCTTGTAAATGAGGTGGTACATTTGAATTTCTTTCGTCTTCTTTTTTTCATGGTGTAACGTGTATTTAGTAGTTACAGCAGGATTTCTTGTGGCTTGATTATGCAGTCCTTATACAAAAAAAAAATTATACCGATCATATTAGTATAATAGAAAATTGAATGACTTTAATTTTTGTTAATAAGTTGTTATAAACCGACCAACACAACACAACCCGACCGATACTTGATTGGGTTGGGTTGAGTTGGGTTTCAACCTTTGCATGAGTTTGGTTGGGTTAAATTTTGATCAAACCGATCGTGTTGAGTTGAGTTTGGGTTAAGGCAAAAACCGACCCAACTCAACTCATGTCCACCCCTGATAACACCTATAGAAGGAGAAGTATAATGCTTCAAATACCATGTTAATTTGGTTGGTATTGAAGTTAATTATTTTTGGTAAAGTTAGGACCTACTTCTTTAAAAAAAGTATATTTTGTTAATAAAAAAGCTAGTTTGAAATATTATATATTTGACAAAATGAGTTACTTATAAGCTTAGCCAAACACAGTCTTATTAGTTAAACAGGGAAAAAAATGTATTTTTGGTACTTTAGATTGGAAAAAATGCTGGATCGACATGGATACTCACATGCTTCTTTTTCATAAATCATGTCTGAGTCTTTATACATTCAAACTTACAACAAATGCTACTTCGTTAATACCAAAATACTTTGACAGCAAGTCTTTTGAACAGCAGTATTTCGAATTGAATAATTTAAAACATATGCATTAAGAAAAAAAGGTTGTCCTAAATAGCAATCATTCCACATGATCCATGAAAGAATCTTGACAAAGTTAACTATGGAGTATCCAAGCAAAATTCTTTCTAACAAAATACCAAGAAACAAGTCTATCATGTTGAACTAAATTAAGGATAATAATACGTACAAAGAATAAAAATATAGGCTAAATAATTGGTCATTTGGCAGCTTTCAAGCAAATGCAGCCAATCTCAATGGTTGGATTACATTATAAGCAAACCAATAAGTTTAATTATACGAAATCGAATTATTATTTTTTGTCTGTATTACAACTTTGTGGTTATCAATTTAGTGACACGAAACCAGTCATTGTCTCAAAATGGAAGTTGACAATGAATCCTCATAATTTCCGACGCTATTTGGTTACTTAACAAAATGGAATTCCACTTTTTAATTCTTGATATAAGCAACCACACGTTCACGCTCTATTTTTTTAGTGATCGAACTTTTTTCCGCTTCTATTTTACACGTGTTATTAGCAGGTCAAGATATATCGTAATTTGAAGTAAGTTCAACTTGTCAAATGGAAATCGAATCGTGTGATTTCTTTGATGAATGTGGATGGAAATGCCAAATTGAATTGACTTGGATCGATTTGGAATGATGTTGGCTTTATTCTCAAGTTAGCTTGGATCCACCCGAAAATCTCGATACGAGGGGTTGGGTTCCAAAAAAATAAATTGATTTTTTAGAAAAAACCACCTTCAATCGTTCGAATCCAAATCGACTCGGATTGGTTTGAGTTGATTTATTCATCTTGTTGGTATCGATGTGATTCGAACCAATTCAACTCGGATCGTTTTGAGTCATTTTATTCATCTTATCGTTATCCAACTGATCTAAACTGACTCGGATTGATTTGATTGATTTATTCATCTTGTTGGTTCGATTTCGATTGGTACTTCATCCAACCCAGACATGGTCAGTGCGATTGTTGGATTGGGTCCAAATTTGACCCGTGCCCACTTTTAATTTCCATTGCATTTGCCCACTTTTAATTTCCATCACATCGTCAATGCATCAAAATACATTCACTATTTAGCAATCATCGACTATATTTGAATCGTGACAAACTCAATTACTTCTCTCTCTTAAATCACATTTGTATATATTTAGGATAAATTTATATGTACATAATTATTGTACATAATGGATTACATAGGCTCATGTGGAAGAAATCCGACGATGAATATGAAGTGTGGAAAAGTCAAAAATTGTAGACTACTGATGGATATGCTCTACATGTCAATTATGTAATGTGTTGTGTAAATAATTATGTACTTGTAGCATGATCCATATATTTATAACCTTATTTTGCACTTAACAATCGAGAAAGAAAGATAAAGGTTTTCTTTATTTTTTATAAAGATTGTCCTCTCTTTCTTTCTTTCTTTTTTTCTTTCC